AGGAACAGAGCCCAATCCCATGGGATTCCCAGGCACCACCTGGGAGACTTTTCCTTGAACATCCTTCCCGAACCCTCAGGCTCCAGCCAGGATTGGTGCCTGGTGGTGCCAAACCCACAGTGTGAATCCTGCTGGACACAGACCATCCCTGCTCCAAGGGATCCCAAAATCTGGGATCACACCCATGGGCTGAAGAGCCACAGCTTCCCCCAGCCCCAAAACTGGCTGTTCCAGGACCAAAACGGCTGAGAAAATCTGTTCCCAAAAAACAACTCACCTCTATTTCCTCTCCAAGCACATCTTCCTCGTTGGCTTCTTCCTCAGCTGGAAAACAAACCCAGGGAGAGATTGGAGCAGGAAAACATCTCAGATGAAGGAGCTGGGACAGAGAATGGGGACACAGAGGGACAGCAAAGCTCCTCCACGAAGGAATCCCGGTGGAAGCCCAGGAGGTGTCTCCCCTGGAGCCAGGAATTTGGGAAGGGCTCAGCACCCACCGTGCTCCTCCAGGTAGGCCTGCAGACGGTTGATCAGGTCCTGCTTGTTGCCCTTGGCTTCCAACCCCCTGGCCAGGCACTCCTGCTTCAGCTCTGCCAGCTGGGAGAGGGGAAACGTTCCGTGAGCCAGGGATAGCACAGGGGTTGAGATGGGTTTGGGGCTGTAAGGAAGGGTGAGGAGTTTCCTCACTTCTCCCAGGGGAATATGCTGGGGACACTTCTGGGGATTCTCCCCAGGGAACCTTTCCCAGGGAATCTCCTGGCAGAACATCCCCAGGGAACTTGTCCTGGGGAAACTCCTAAGGATCTTCCTGGGGGACTCTCCTGGGGATTCTCCCAGAGAACTTTTCCTGGAGGAACCTCCTCGGGAACCTCTGAGACATCTTCCCAAGGAACCCTTTCCAAAGAATCCCTTCCAGGGATTCTTCCAGGGGACCCTCCTTAGGATGCTCACAGGGAACTTCCTGGGGACTCTTTTCCAGGGATGCTCCCGGGAGAATCTCCTGGGGGAACCTCCCCAGGGAAACCTTTCAGGGGACCCTCAGGGTGGGAGCGATCCCACGCGGGA